TATTTACAAAAATGTGAGGGGTGTACTCACTTCTGTGAGATACTGTATGTATATATATATATATATATATATATATATATATATATATAATATTACATTACAAATTAGATATTAGATGTAACAAACATTAATATGTACATAATAATAATAATTCCTTAAATGTATATAGCGCTTTTCTGGGCACTCAAAGCGCTTTACATAGAAGGGTGGAATCTCCTCAACCACCACCAGTATATGAATATAAAAATGTTACATGGAAAGTAAAATTGGTGCCTTACCAACTAAATGAAATAAGACGAAATACTAAAAATTACTAAAACTGAGATAAAAAAATAAAACTAAATAGAAATATTGGATTTAAATTTATTAGATTAAAAAAATTTGACATTAGATATGATATAAATATTCATATTAACCTGTACATAAATATAAATATTGCATGAAAAGTAGAAATGTTGCCTTGGCAACTAACTGAAATAAATTGAAATACTAAAATTACTAAAACTGAGATTAAAAAAGAAAACTAAATATAAATATTAGATTTAAAAAATTAGACATTAGATATGATATTAATATTAACATGTACATAAATATAAATATTACATGTAAAGTAGAAATGGTGTCTTGGCAAATAACTGAAATAAGTACCAAGTACTAAAATCACTAAAACAACAACTCAAAAAAGTTTTAAATATAAAAATAAAAGCTAAAATATCAATAAATTCTATGATTGTGTAAAAATAATACTAAAACAACTTACTTTCTTTTTTGCTTTTTGCATTCGAGTAGCTCAAAGAATAATTGCATCCCAAATGACACACTATACACTATGTCCTCAACCATGTAGTGTATGAATTTGTGACGTATAAAGCTGACACAGCTGAGTGCATGATGTGTCCAATATTTTTCAGTTATTTAAGTGCATCATCTGGGTATTTAAAGTGCACTTTTTCTCATGCTAAAACGTTTTCAAAACCATTTTAGACCTAAATCAAATAAATAAAATATTAATAATAATTTAAATAATATATAAAATAAATATTATACAAATAATGACAAATAAATATTTCAATATTTCAACAAAAGTTTAAATATATGTTAGCTTCATACAAATCAATCCCTAGGACATGCAAGGGCCCAAAGTTGAAAACCCATATATACGTGGTTTGTGGCTTTATTGGACACACCAAGTGGTTTCACTCCTGGTTGATGAAACAAATTCCAGCACACTTGCAATCAGTGCAGAGATGTGACAGAAAACATTTGGCTGTAGAAAAAAGGGCATCTCACCTGCTGACAACAGTTCATCCAGGACGTTGAGGATGTTTAGCATGTTCTCCTTGTCTCCAGCGTTCTGAAAAGAGAACAGAAAGAGCAGCACGCTTAAAAGCTCAACCTGGCCTCTGCATTAAGACTTCCTATAGCATCCACACAAAATTTGGCTCAACAACCACAAACAATCAAAGCAACTCCAATAAACATTCACAGATGACATGTGCGATATAAAGTGTTGAGTGCTTCCTGGCTGGCAAAGCAAAAATCCTCCGGCATTATGTCCGTATTCAGAACGCATTGGGACTGGTACCCCGGCGGGGACCCGGAGCCCCGTGGTTAAAAGCAGCAGCAGTTGACGGGTAAGCGGTCGGGGGCTGTAATCCTCAGAGAAGGGACTCCACAGCTGGGGATTCAAGCTTCAGCTCTCATTATAGGGCAAAAACGACAGAAAGAGAGAGAGAGCACAACATTGTCCTGCCTGCATCTGTGCTGGCCGTGTCTTTCTGACAGTAGCCATTGAATCCTATTAGGCATCTCCACAGCCAACTGCACCGCAAAGAGATGTGTCCTGCCAGGGAGCTGTCACTCTTACCCACATTAGTCAACTGACAAAAGAGATCAGTGTCAGCAGAGCATGAAAGTACATACATGTACTTTAAAAGTCAATGGGGCTAGTTTCTGTGAGTGTGGAGGCATATTGTTTGCCTCTATTATAACAGATGCATTCTGGACACAGTTATTTTAGTATTATTTACAAACTATCATATAATAAATTACTAATGAAAAATGAGTAAATTCTATCTATCAAATCAATCAATTACCAAAAATGATTTTGGCTCTGGAGATGAGAAGAAAATACTGCATGATTTATTTTATTCAACCTGGTCTCATAAATTTTCAGTTATTTAAGTGCATCATCTGGGTATTTAAAGTGCACTTTTTCTTTGTGAAATTTTCAGTGTGAACACACTTCTCGCACTATTTATACTACAAAATGTCATAGAATGGTGCACAAGTACGTGATTTGGGACGCACCTAATATTAACCTGAGAATGTTTACCTGTTCTGTCACCAGTAAAATAACCCCATCATACTCAAATAAAATAAAACTGTTTGTCTCCTCCCCTTCTCTCCTAGCCCCGCCTCGTCATCACTCACCTCGGTAGCCCACCTTGGCCAGCAGGTGCAGCAGCGGCAGTAGGATGGTGTACTTGGGAGTGAAGCTGCGGGCTGAGTTCACCAGAGCCGTCAGCAGGGCCTCGCTGCCTCCTTTCGATATCATGTGATGAATCCGTCTGTCTGTGCCTACAGGAAACAGCCGCCATCATTTCACAAAATCTCAAATTTAGGCTGATAATTTGTACGCCAAGTGCCGGTGCCATCTTTGCCACTGGCGTGCTATCGCAAGATGATGTCTGGGTTTATTTTCGACTTTCTTTCAGAACTTATGAAAATTCGTGCTGATTAGAACTTTGTGCTGGAGGCTGGTGAATACATTTGGCTAATTACTTTGCAGTGAATTAATTTCAGATTACAGGATTAGTATAGTACTGTTCCACCTCTACAAGAGTATTATTCGATAGATTTGTTGGTGAATAATAGACAAGGCCAAGATATGGAAATAAATAGTATAGAAACAGTTGAGGTTATATAATTAGATCCTGGGAGAAATGTGAATTGACGTCACGTCTCTTTTCACCAGTATTTTCAATGTTATTAAGACTGCTTTAAAAGATTTGGTTTTGAAGGTAATGCCTCTGGATTAATGTGGATTTTTCCTGTCTTCTCAAGGTGTCCTGACTTAAATCAAGTACTTCATTTACATTTGTTCACTTAACAGACGCTTTTATCCAAAGCGACCTACAAACGAGGAAAAAAATATTCATTTTTATTTTTTCCACACAGCACACAAATTGAAACGAGCATTAACAAGTAGAGAGTAATCTTTAACTGTACATGGTTGTTTCTTCACAGGACATTTTTAGTGTTGTGATTGACTTATCTGTATAGTTGTGATTGTCTTATCCGTATTATGTAGCAAGAACAATATTTTACAATTCTTTTAACTAAAATGGTTTCTTTATCTCGCTTGGCCTAATTTCATAACTAGCATTCTGTATATTATAAATACACACAAACATAATATTCACACATTTTGCATATTGAACAGGATGTTTGGAAAAGTGCACTTTACCTTGTTTATTGTTTTGTTTTGTTTAGTTTTTTGTTCAGGTTATGTCTCATATTTAAAGTCCTTAACCAAATACAATAACGTCTGAAAAAACATTATTAGGGGCAAAATTGTTGGTTTGTGATGGAAATGACACCAGAGCTGAGAGTTGTAAATAACAAATTTTCTACAATAAATTAAATTGGCCTGTGTTTATGTCTCTCTATAAAAAATATCTATAAAATTTCTCTTAAAAAATTCTAAAAAAAAAACATTATTATGACATTATATATTTTGGGAAAATCTAGGTTCAGAACAAAAAAAAAAAAGTAGCAAAAATAAATAGCTGAAGGCATGCTAAAAAGTAAAATAAAAAACATGTTAGACCTAAATCAATCTATAAATCAATCAAATAAATAAAAATGTAACAATTTAAAGAGCATATAAAATAAATATTATACAAATAGTACTTAAATTTTATACAATAAATTAAATTGACCTGTGTTTACTTCACTCTATTTAAAAAAAAAATATATATATATATAATCTTAAAAATATTAAATTTATAATAATTATTATATTATATTATATTAAATTCTATCTATCAAATCAATCAATTACCAAAAATGATTTTGGCTCTGGAGATGAGAAGAAAATACTGCATGATTTATTTTATTCAACCTGGTCTCATAAATATACGTACCTCTGTGTACTTTTTGTGCAACACCGTTTTTACGTACCTTACTGCACGTTTCGCCGCAGTTTCAAAGAGAAATGTCCACTGAGTGGCGCTAAAATACGGCTTCAATACGTGAGCCCTGGCACGTTTTTATTATGTTGATATAGGTACGGAGGTTGCTTCTGGTACGTATTGCGGCGGTTCAGAATTCAAATATCTGTGTACTGTCGCTAAAAGTTAATGCTGTATCGTGTTTGGAAATATGCCCTACACCAAACCCAACCCTAAACCTACCCGATGGTGTTAACAAATGCAAAACTGATATACAAACGCATTTGTTGATGCAACCGTGCCATTTCAACTTCCTTATATGCAGATTGAACTGTTTTGTCGAACCGTGGTTACACGGGATTCAAACCGGAGCACCTCGCCTCTCAAGTACGTCTCCGTACTCCGTGAGCTACCGAACAAACCTACCGTCGATGAAAACCCATAGATATAAAGCTGGATATGTGCGATGCTAACGTTCAAAAGTATCAGTTTTCAAATCTCCCAGCATATTAATATTGTTTTGAAGTCATAACATGATATTCTTCAAGTAATTGTGCGAAAATTACGCTTTATTAATCGAAACTCTGTAAATGTGTGTGAAAAGGAATAAAAGGTGTCGGAGTTTTACTGCCTCTAGTCTTCATTTTTTTGCAAACTGCAGTGATATGTACTTATTGGTACGTATTTCGCGTCTCGCTAAAAAGTGCGGTACGTTTTTGCCATGAGACCAGGTTGCTTTCTTCTGTTGAATAGAAAATAATATATTTTGAAAAATGTTGGTAACCAAAAAAAAAAAAAAC